GAGAAAGCGAGGAGGGAAGGAGTGGGGGAAGGGAGGGAGGCAAGGGACAAGAGGGAGGGAGCAGAACTGCGGACGAGAGAGATTAGAAGGTGGGGGGCTTAAGAGAGAATCCGGAAAACAAGTTGCAGACCCAAACGGTTGGGTCGGGTAACGGTCCCCAACCGGCGGGTCGGGCGGGCGGGGCCTGCAGACCCGCGGGCGGACCCTAACGGGCGGGTCGGGCGTGCGGGACGTGGGCTACGCTGGGGCCACGAAGGGCAGCAATGGGGCCACAGAGGGCACAAGCGACTTGTGGCCACGAAGGGCGTATATGGGGCCACAGAAGGCAGCGAGGGGGCCACAATGGGCAGCGGGGGGAGGCACACGGGGCTGCGCTGGGGCCACGAAGGGCAGCAATGGGCCACTGAGGGCACGAGCGACTCGGGGCCACGAAGGGCGTATATATGGGCCACAAAGGGCAGCGAGGGGGCCACTGAGGGCAGCAGCGGGGCCACGAAGGGCAGCAATGGGGCCACTGAGGGCACGAGCGAGCGGGGGCCACGAAGGGCGTATACATGGGCCACCAAGGGCAGCAACGGGGCCACAATGGGCAACGATGGGCGCCACTGAGGGCAGCAGCGGGGCCACGAAGGGTAACAGTGGGGCCACTGAGGGCATTGACGGGGCCACAAAAAGCAGCAAAGGGGCCACGAAGGGCTATGGCAATGGGGCCACTGAGGGCACGAGCGACTGGGGGCCACGAAGGGCGAACATATGGGCAACAAAGGGCAACGAGGGGGCCACTGAGGGCAGCGGGGGGGGGCACACGGGGCTACACTGGGGAACGAAGGGCAGCAATGGGGCCACTGAGGGCACGAGCGACTCGGGGCCACGAAGGGCGTATAGATGGGCCACAGAGGGCAGCGAGGGGGCTACTGATGGCAGCAGCGGGGCCACGAAGGGCAGCAGTGGGACCATTGAGGGCACAAGCGACTGGGGGCCAAGATGGGCGTATACATGGGCCACAAAAGGCCTACGCTGGGGTCACGAAGGGCAGCAATGGGGCCACTGAGGGCACGAGCGACCGGGGGCCACGAAGGGCGTATACATGGGCCACAAATGGCAACCAGCGGGGCCACAATGGGCAGTGGGGGGGAGGCACACGGGGCTACACTGGGGCCACGAAGGGCAGCAATGGGGCCACTGAGGGCACGAGCGACTCGGGGCCACGAAGGGCGTACAGATGGGCCACAGAGGGCAGCGAGGGGGCCACTGAGGGCAGCAGCGGGGCCACGAAGGGCAGCAAGGGGGCCACTGAGGGCACGAGCGACTGGGGGCACGAAGGGCGAACATATGGGCAACAAAGGGCAACGAGGGGGCCACTGAGGGCAGCGGGGGGGAGGCACACGGAGCTACACTGGGGCCACGAAGGGCAGCAATGGGGCCACTGAGGGAACGAGCGACTCGGGGCCACGAAGGGCGTATACATGGGCCATAGAGGGCAGAAAGGGAGCCTCTGAGGGCAGCAGCGGGGCCACGAAGGGCAGCAATGGGGCCACTGAGGGCACAAGCGACTGGGGGCCACGACGGGCGTATACATGGGCCACAAAAGGCCTACGCTGGGGTCACGAAGGGCAGCAGCGGGGCCACTGAGGGCACGAGCGACTGGGGGCCACGAAGGGCGTATACATGGGCCACAAATGGCAACGAGGGGGCCACTGAGGGCAGCGGGGGGGGAGGCACGCGGGCCTCACTGGGGCCACAAAGGGCAGCAATGGGGCCACTGAGGGCACGAGCGACTCGGGGCCACCAAGGACGTATATATGGGCCACAAAGGGCAGCGAGGGTGCCACTGAGGGCAGCAGCGGGGCCGGCAGCAATGGGGCCACTGAGGGCACGAGCGATTGGGGGCCACGAAGGGCGTATATATGGGCCACAAAGCGCAGCGAGGGGCCACTGAGGGCAGCATCGGGGCCACGAAGCGCAGCGACTGGGCCACAAGGGGAGGGGCCATGAAGGGCAGCAATGAGGCACAAAGGGCGCGAGCGAGCATGGGGTACGAAGGGCATGACCCTGACGGGCGGGCAGAGCGGGCGGATCGATCGTGAGTTCTGCGTGATTAGCCAGGAAGTTTCCAGCGAGAGAGCGATTCCTAAGTAGATTTGAAGAAGTCCCCAGCGAACGCGCGATTCCTGAATGGCAAGCACGCGGCGCCTGAGAAAAATTGCTAAGAAGTCTCAGACGGGAACGCGATTCTTTAGTAAATTGCCAGGAAGTCTCAAGCGGGAGCGGGGGACCGGAGAAAATTTTGAGGAAGTATCAAGTGGGAGCCGCTGTTGCTGTAAACCGGGGGCCAGGGGCACAGTTTGAGGAGGAAGACTTTCCCTGATGAAAAACCGGGTGCGAACGCCTGGAGGGGCACTTCAATTGACAAAAATACAATGTGCACCGGAGGGGGCGATCAACAATAATCATTCTTCAACAAGGAAAGTTCAACATCTCCGTTATTATCCCTCCTCCTGCCCCTCCTCCGCTTCTCATCCCCTGCCTACTATGAAAAGACTGGTCCTCGGATTCCTCTTCGGCGGGCGCCCCGGGCTCGTCGACGGCGATGGGCTGCGACGGCTCCGGCCGGAGGAGGGGCGCCGATAGCGAGGGGTCGAAGAGGAACTTGTTGGTCCAAACCTGCCAGCTGATAAAATTGCCGCCCGCACGCGGGACGGTGACACTTCCCACCCTCCCCCCTCCTCCCCCTCCTCCTCCTCCTCCTCCTCCTCCTCCTCCCCCTCCTCCTCCTCCTCCTCCTCCTCCCCCTCCTCCTCCTCCTCCTCCTAGGGAACAAGGTCGGCGGCACCAGGCGTAAGGGCTCGCAATAAAATTGCCGCCCGGCGCGGGACAGTGGAGGAGAGCACAAGGGAGGAAAGAAACTGCACGCATGCACCTATCCTGGCTAGGAGTGACTCGACCAGAGAGGCATACACACCGATCCTGGGCCGAGGATGGGTCTGGCCAGGACGAGCATGTGCACGTAGACCTCGCCCCCCGAAAACAAGCCGTTCGGGAGAATGTGGCAGAAGCAGAAAGCTAATAAGCAATCAAGGCGGATCAAGGTCTCGGTCCGCCCCCTGAAAGGGAGGGCAAAAGGCAGCGACTTCGATTCTCGAGGTGAGCAAACGCGGGAAGTACATTGGGACTTGGGAGTCCAAGGAAACGGACGGCCAACGAACGGCCCAACTATGTGAGGGAGGGGCAGGAGGGAGGAAGGGCGAGGAGGGACCAGAGTCCGCCGACCCCTTGTGGGTCTCTAGGCGTGTGAGATGGTTCCCCCCCCATAACCCCCCCCAATGGACCCCAAACCGGAGATTCGACCCCCCCCCCCGGCCCTGGGCGACCCCGGACCGAACGCGTCACGGCCCCGGGCGACCCCGGACCGAACGCGCCACGGGGGAGCGGAGGGTTCCAAAACTGGCCATGAAGGCACCAGAACGCTCCCCAGACGGTCCCAGGGGGCCACGATTCGCCGAAATATGGCCCTGGACGCCCACGATGGCCTCCAGGCGGCCTCCGAAGCTGCCAAGACGCCCCAAAAGGCCCCCAAGATGCGCCCCAAAAGGGTCCCAAGAAACAAAAATCGTCCCATTCCCTTCGGAAAACAAGCATGTTTTGCATGTTCGCCTATTCGGTTTTCACAACGTCCCAGACGGGCAAAAAAACCTTCAATATCGCCCCCAGACGGCCAAAGGGGCCCCCAAGAAGGGTCGAAGAGGGTCCAACAACAGCCCCCGAAGCCCCCAAGACAGCCAAGAGGGCCCCCAGACGGCCCAAAGACGACACCTGTTCGAGCCTTCGGCCCCAAGACGCCCCCAGCCTGCCCCAAGAACAGCCCAAGAGGCCCTGAGGGACCCCCAAAAGAACCTCAAAGGCCTCCAAGAAGCCCCCAGGAAGCCCCAAAGAGGCCCCAAAACTTGGCCCAAGATGCCTCGAGGCGGCCGGATATGGCCTGCAGACAGGCCAAGATGCCACCAAGAGGCCACAAAAGAGCATCAAGAGGTACGATAACAGCAACGAAGCAACAGAAACGATGTCGAGCGCCGTGTCATGATTCGGACAAGCCTCGTGAAATGCAGTCCTGGAGGCGCAGTACCTTATATAGGGGTCGGCGGATGTGGCGTAAGCCCATAGAATAAACCCAGCACGCACCACTACGTAAATTACATAATTATTGCGCCCCCGAGGCAACAAACATTTGTACATTACGCAATGTTCGCGTCCCCGAGGTCATAACCCCTCGCAAATGACTCCGTATTCGCCTTGCCGAGGCCAAAAGTGCTGTAAGGCGCCCGAAGATGGTTTCAAGACGGCCCAAGGGGACCCCAAGAGCGCTCCAAGAGGCCTCCCGAGAGAGCTACAAGAGGCCAACACCGTCGATTGTACAAAGGGTTTTTGACAGATGTTGGCCTTCTCGCATTTTCGGCTTTCCAACGCTCGCCCACCGCTGCGCGCGCGCGGCGCGCCGCGCGGCGCGCCGCGCGGCGCGGCCGCGGGCTGGCCACACGCCCGCCGCGCGATCCCCCCGCCAAGACCGCCAGCCAGGAGCCCACCGCCGCTGGCAGGTTCCCTCCACCGCCCCGAAGGCCCCCGAGATCCTGGCGTCGCCCTTTTTTCAATGGCGGGTGATTTTGCATCATGTCGGGCCCTGGGACCCTCAGTGGCGGATCCCGCGCGGAAAATACCGCAGGAAGATGGGGTCCAGGGCTCCAGTCGAGTTTTCGTCACGACGTGTGCAACTTTGTCGCGACGTCGGATGTAAGTGAAGGGGAGACAGGGAGCGGATGAGGAGCCGTCGCAGGAGGAAGGGACGCAGGGAGCGGGAACCGAGGAGGAACAGTTGAAGTAGGAGAGGAGGAGGGGAGGAGGTGGAGGGGAGGCTGGATGGCGCTGCCCTCTCCGTGCGAGAAGAGGAGGCAAGCGAAGGCAGGGGAGGGGGGGCAGGCAAGGGGCGGGGGAAGGGAGGTCCCAGCCTGGATGGCGTTGCCCTTTGCGTGCGAGGTCAGCATGAACGCCGAGCTCGGTGAGAAGCACACACTCAGCGCGGGCTTCGCAAAGACAAACGAGTCGATGCGCCGACCCCCGCGGGAGGTACGTGAGGCTGGCTCTTCACCATGCCCCTGGTGAGGGGCAACGATAGGGGGGACTGGGGAAGCATCGAGCAGGAACCAGCCATACATCGCCGATAGATCGCCGATAGACCCCCGATAGCACATTCCTACGCTCCTGGGCGGGGTGGGACTATCGAGGGCGAGAGATTATGGGGTGGTTGACTGGCGGAGCAAAGGGCAGAGGCGTGCGCGCTGATGGCCAAGGTGGTGCCAGCCCGAGGGAGGAGGACAAGATGAGGGGGGGAGGTGCCGCCAGCGTGGCGCCCCCAGGGGCCCTTGCCGCGGCCGTCGCCGCGGCCTGCGGCGAGGGTGACGACAGAGGCGGAGGTGACGGCGCGCGGGGGGGAAGTGCCGCCAGCGCGGCGCCCCCAGGGGCTGTCGCCGCGGCCACCGTGGCCTGCGGCGATGGCGACGACAGAGGAGGTGGTGACTGCAGTGGTCAACACCGAGGGCGCGGAGTGCGCAGCAGCGAGGACGCCCTGGTGAGGCTCGGCGCAAACTTCGAGACGGGCTCGAAGGGCAGGGGGGCAGGACGAGCATTGCCCGCGCCTGCCAGGGGGGATGGTGAGGGGCAGGGGGGGGGGACGGCCACCACCCGCGCCCCCGCGGTCCGCCCGAGCTCGCCACCCCCACCATCCCCGTGGCGACGGAGGAGCTCACCCGCACCCCGTCGTGGCGGAGCACAGGGCAGTGGAGGAGCTGGAGGCGGCCTGGCTCGGGCCAGACCGTTCGGGCCAGACGAGAGGGGGGGAAGGGCCGCCACTGCGGCGCCCCCAGGGGCCTCCACCGCGGCCACCGTGGCCTGCGGCGGGGGCGAGGACTGCGACGACGGCAACGGCGCTGTGCCTGGCCGCGCGAGGAGGTCGAGGCGAGGGGGGGAAGTGCCGCCAGTGCGGCGCCCCCAGGGGCTGTCGCCGCGGCCACCGCGGCCTGCGGCGGGGGCGACCAGCTCTCCCCGCGGTGGCCACGCGCTCCCGCACGGCAGCCTGGCCGGTTCGTCCGAAACCCGCGCGCGGAGGTGTCGCGGCCCCCCCCCCGCCCGGTTGCCGGTTCGCCCGAGGCCGGCGGGCGGGCGCCGCGGCGCCCCTCGCGGCGCGCCCCATCCACCATGGGGAGTTGCGCCCACAATGCACCATCCCCACGGCGGCGAGCGGAGCCGCATCGGTGCGAGGGGGGGGAGTGCCGCCAGTGCGGCGCCCCCAGGGGCAGCTGCCGCGGCCACGTTGGCCTGCGGCGGCAGCGAGGAGGACGGCCGCTGGGGCACCTGCTGGATCCGCCTCGGAATCCGTTCGTGGGGGCCCTGGGGCGGCCCCTGTCCGTTCTCCTGGGATGTCGCGGTCGTTTGGCCCTCGGGCCTGAGCGGCTGGGCTGCCCGCTCGGACACTACGCGCAGTGTCTGGACGTGCGTCCCGCGGCTTCGGGGCCCTCGTCGCCTGTCCCCTGGGGCGGTGGCGCGGGCGGGGGCGGGCGCGAATCGACGCGCCCCTCCGACTCGCGGCCATCATCAGTACTCCCCTCGTCGTCCCCTCCTCCTTCGCCTCTCCCCTCCGCGCCATCTTGACCGCCACCCCAGAATCCCCCGTTCTCGGAATATCAGTCTGTATCGGCGATCAGTGGACGATTGGGGATCGATGCGTTTTACCCTGAGTCTATCCCTTGTAGGTCGCTGGAGAGCAGCGTTGTTTCCAGGGCCAGATCCCAATACGCTCGGCAGGCGCGCTTGATCCGTCAATAGCAATCCTCACGACCTCCATCCGCAAGCTCAATCTTATTGCTTTGGGGCAAAGCGCTACTTCTCGTGCTGCTGAAGAGTATGAGATCACAGAATACGAGCTCGCTTCGGCGGCCGCAACATCTTGTCGGCCAGTTCAACGACAGATCGCGTAGCCGTACCAAGTGTTTCTACTTCCATGTGCAAACGAAATGTGCCCCTGAGCACCAGACACCCCGGGCTCCGAGGATGTCGGCGCGAAAGCCAATGTCACATGGGAACACCCACCAACAACGAAAGCGGCAACGCCCGCTCCGTTGACAAGCTCAATCTTAAGTTTGCTTGACCAGCGATTGGGCCGCTGATGTTTGCTCGTGCCACACGATAAGTACCCCCTCCCCCGTCGCCCCAGACACACAGATCGCGATCACTGCTCCGCAGCGAGCTTCAACCTATCTCCCCCCATCCTTGCCCCTCGCCCTCTGGGAACAAGATGAAGCTAGACGCGCGCACCGAATCACGCGGGCGAGATGTGCGCCCAGCACCCGGCCCGCAGAGAGAGGGCACGAGCGGCGGCGGCGGCGGCAGCAGCAAGTGCGGCAGGCCTCGGCACAAAGCAGCGAGAGCCGGAGCGCGAGCCCGAGCGCCCGCCGGGCCCGGTAGTGGCAGCGGGCAGCTGGAAGAGGAGGGCGGGGGAGGGGAGGGAGACCCTCAGATCCAGGCGCTGTGTTTTTGTTCACCGGGCGCTTTCCCCCGGTTTCGGGTCCTGGGCCTGGGACCCTCACAGACCGATCGGTCTCCAGGGATGGCGCAGGAGGATGGATTCTGGGGCTCTGGCAGCGATTGTTTGCGATGTTGCATCTCTTTTGCAACGTCGGATCTCAGGGGAGGACTTGGGCAGGACGAGGGCAAAGAAAGAGGACGAGACGACGAGGGAGAGCAGCACGTGGCAGGGGCAGGGGAAAAGGCTAAGGAAGCAACGGGTACAGTGGCGAGGGAGGGGAGCGGGGAGACGGGGAGTGATGTGGGGGAGGCCAGGCACCCGGCGGCTTGGGGAAAGAGGCATACCTGGGCCAGGGGAAACCACAGGCGGGGAGCGAGAAACGGGGACGGCGAGGGGAGAGGGCACGGGGGAGGCGAAGAGGCAGGAGGGAAGGCGGAGAGGGAGAACAGGAGAAAGAATACGACCGGCAAAACCGCCCTCGCTGACAAAAATGCTACGCCAAGGTCTCGGGGTAGAGAGAAGAGCCGGGCGGCAGCTGGGCATCCGACGCCGTGGGAGCACCACGGCGTCGTGAACGGACTCACGACCAGAGCTCCCGACGCCGCCCTCGTGCGGCAGCTCTCCCGAGGCGGGGCCCAGTCCGTGAGGGCTGTTGGCCCCAGGGCAGGACAGGCTCGCCCGTCGCGGCCTCTGCGTGCGCTGACGACGCCCGATGTAGCGGGCGCCGCCAGGAGGGGCCCAGCTACGGCACATACACGAGCGCGTTCCTCTACTCGCAAAGTAACTACTCGCTTTTGGCCTGGATCCGCCGCGTGGAATTTACTATAAATTGCATCGAAACAAGCATATGTTCTTCGGACGTTTGCGAGTAGGCACTTTGCGAGTAGTGGAACGCGCTCGGTGAGCACAAGAAACCCGCGCGGACCTCCGAACAAGTATGCTTGTACCGTCTTCTGTTGCTCCATCGTCGCCGTCGTCGTCATCGTCGCCGCCACCGTTACCGTCGTCGTCGTCGTCGGCGGCGGCGTCGTCGTCTTGGTCGTCACGGTGGAGTGCGAGACGGAAGGGCATCAGGCGGGCTCCGCCGTCGGGCGCCCCGCGATGCACCTCGCGGCGGGCAGGTCGAAGATGCGTAGGCCACCGTCCTGGAAGGGTACTCCTCCTCCCTGCTGGCTCCCGGCCCAGTTTTTCCCTCCTCCTTCTCGTGTTCCTGGTTGCTGGTTCCTGGTTCCTCCTCCTCCTCCTCCTCCTCCTCCTCCTCCTCCTCCTCCTCCTCCTCTTCCTCCTCCTCCTCCTCCGCCTCCTCCTCCGCTTCCGCCTCCGCCTCCGCCTCCGCCTCCGCCTCCGCCTCCGCCTCCGCCTCCGCCTCCGCCTCCGCCTCCGCCTCC